CGTAATGATACTGCCTCGGAAACCCAAAGAGGGGTCGCTATGAGTCGCGGCCGACTCGACGGCGCATAACAACAACAACAACAACAACACTTCCATTGTTAACAGTTCTCAGAATATTGGTATTTTGACAAAATATATTTCAAAATAGGTGCTTGTGACTCCAACCTGAACAAAATCTCTAGACATAGTGAATAACAGGTCATAGAAGTAAAACTTTATCTTATTTGCAAGTTTGTTTTTCTGTCCATTCTTTGCCAGAGGAAAGAAAAGCAGCTTCATCTGTTATTTGCATAAAAAATTAACACAAATTTAGCCACTTGAAACAACATCCACTTAATATCTTACAGTTTTTGTAGGTTAGAAGTTGGCATGAATGAGCTGGTTTCTCTGTTCAGGGTAACACAGGCTGCAGTCAAGCTGTTGACTGTGCTGTGGTTCTCAATTGGCACTCATGCACTTGTTGGCAGAATTCAATTCCTTGCAGCTCTGGGACTGAAGTTCATGTTTACTGGCTGTCTCTCACTAAGGACTGCTCTCTGCTTCTAGAAACTGCCTGCAATTCCTTTCCATGAAGCCTCATAGGCAGTTTGTCAGATGAATGTTTGATTTCTTCCAGGCCACTAGGTGCTTGTCTTCCTGTCTTTAAAATCTCTCTTACTTAGTTTCTGACTTCTAGATCCATTATTTAAAGAGCTCATGTCCAGGCCTACTTGGATAACCTACCCTGGTTAGTAACCTGAATTATATCTGCCAAATCCCTTTTGCCATATAACCCTAATCATAAACATAACAACAGGGAGTGGAGATCTTGGGGAGCATCTTGGAATTCTGCCTGCCATAGGACCCAAGTGGTTCTAGGAGGAAGCAGAGCTGCCTTTCAGGGCAGGAACTGTTGAAGTTTGTATTTAGAGCCAATATTTACTTACCCAGCGGCTTTGCAGAAGAAAGCTCTGGTGGTCTGCTTCTATAAAGATGAAAGCCCAGAAAACCCTATGGAATAGTTTTACTCTGTAACACATGAGGTCTCCATGAGTTAGAATTGACTCGATGGCAGAGGTTTGGTTTTTTGGCTTTTAGTGACATACTTTTCCTCATTCTGCCCTGAGGTTACATCACAGTTATCACTGATCTATCCCCTCTGTGTCTGCCCTAAAGTCCAAAATTACTTTCCTTACCTTTATTGAATTATTTTGATATTTACTAGAATTCCTCTTAAGAAATAAAAGAAAATTAGTGTTTCATACTAAACCATGAACCCTTTCCACTCAATCAAAAACTGCTAACCTTCCTGAGATGATGTTGTTGTTATGTGCCATTGAGTCATCTCTGACTCATAGTGACCCCTCCTTGGGTTTTCGAGGTGGTATCTCTATGGAAGTAGATCACCCAGTCTTCCAAGGAGTGGCTGGTGGGTTTGAACTGCCAGCCTTCTGGTTAGAAGTCAAGTGCCTTAGACACTACTCCACCAGAGCTCCCAACCTTCCTGAGATACTACCTTAAAAAAGTTACTGGTTTATTCTCACTATCTCCTCAATCATTCTATAACATTTTACTTTGTGAAACTCTTTGGTGTTTTAGCTTTGCTCTCACAGTGTCTTGGATTCCATCTTACCTTTTATCTTTCTCTTCTATTATACTTACTGAGGTTGCTGCTTCCTTGTACCTGTAAACACAACCCCATTGCTTCTCTCTATATACTCTCTTCCTTGGAATTACATCAACTCTCAGAACTTTAATCCCTAAGCAGATGACTCTCCAGCCTACTCTTTGACCTTTGTACTCAAATTTCTGAATTTTTGATTTTGTCAATTTTAATCCAGAATATTCCACTTGTCAAAATCCTTTCCATCAGACTCTTTTTGTTAAAAGTCTTCCTATTTTTCCTGTTGTCCTCCTAGAGTCAGTTCTTTATGTAGTGGTTATTAAAGTCTTTTTTAAAAGCATACAAATCATATCATACCCTTCGGTGACATCCTATCACACTCAGAATAAAATCTAAACTCTTTACCATACCCACCAGGCTGTTCATAATCTGATCCCTTGCATATTTCATTTT